GATCGAGCCTCGGTGTCACACATACACTTCCGTCACAGCGGTTCAATTACGTTTCCTCTTTAGGATTCATCAACCATACAGTCTAGATAGCTGCACATTACACAGGCCCTATACTTTCCCGACTTACCGACCCATCACAAAATTCCCGACTTTTTCCCGACCTCCCGACCCATCTCAAAATTCCCGACTTTTTCCCGATTTCCCGACCCTGTGGGGACCTTGTAAAAAGTAAGCCCATACCAGATTTCTATTCTATTATTTCTTCCAATTAACTTTCAAATATTCTTACAATTTTTTGTTGTTCCCATTTTGTTATTTCCAGGGGAACATTGTGAGGATTACGTGAAACATTTTGAGAAGACGTTTGGACAAGATGCACTGATGCCCATCCCAACGTTCCAGTAGCTGGTGCCGTGCAATACATTACGCCGTTATTGTTGTCCTCGTGCTATATACGTGTACGATTCTGTGTGGCTGTTTTCTACTTGGAAACTTGTGCTGAGGATAGGATTAGTACCAGAAAACAATTAGTTTTCCTAAATTATAGGTGGGATAGCACATTTATACACTTGTGTATTCTGGTGCTGGTCCGACTGCTAATTTGTAAATGTCAAACTACGATTTTTCTTTGTGGGAATCTTCACACTGTAAATTTAGAAACTAAGAATAATGTCAAAGTGAAAAATACCCAGTGTTTTTGTTCTGTTTTTGCCTTGTTCCACAGAGTGCTCGCTGTGAAGTTTGACTGTCTGGTTTTCTTACACAAGTTTGTTCTATTATTTGTTGCTTCTATTTTTACACGTGTTTCACTAAAGACGGTGAAAGTAAAATAGAAGCAACAGACATGTGGTTTCTTGGGAGACTGCTAAGAGTATCATGGAAGGAAAAGAAATCAAATGAGGTAATGCTTGAGGAAGCCCACGTGGGATGCTCACTGTTAAAAACAATCAGGAAACGACAAATGCAGTTTTTGGGACTCCTGAATAGACATAAGGGTCTTGAACATCTAGCTCTCACTGGCAAAATTGAGGGCAAGCGAGGCAGGGGTAGGCCCAGAACAACATACTTAGGGAATCTAAACAAATGGGTAACAGGAAAAGATCAGGGAAACGTAGCTTTTTTGAGAGCATCCGAGCAAAGGAATGAATGGAAAATCATGATCGCCGATGTCTGTCGCAGATCTGGCAGTGGATGATGATGAGTAAAGTCAAACCAGCGAGACTAAATGTAACAAGGGCAAAGAAGTCTTGTCTGTTCGTCTGTAACAGAGAAAGACGATCTGCTTGACAACAACAGTGAGCACTGAGATAGTCAGAGGGGAACAGTGAGATAGTCAGAGGGGAACAGTGAGCATTGAGAGGGGAACATTGAGATAGTCAGAGGGGAACATTGAGATAGTCAGAGGGGAACAGTGAGATAGTCAGAGGGGAACATTGAGATAGTCAGAGGGGAACAGTGAGCACTGAGAGGGGAACAGTGAGCACTGAGAGGGGAACAGTGAGATAGTCAGAGGGGAACAGTGAGATAGTCAGAGGGGAACAGTGAGCACTGAGAGGGGAACAGTGAGATAGTCAGAGGGGAACATTGAGATAGTCAGAGGGGAACAGTGAGATAGTCAGAGGGGAACAGTGAGCACTGAGAGGGGAACAGTGAGATAGTCAGAGGGGAACAGTGAGCATTGAGAGGGGAACAGTGAGATAGACGTAAAGAGGAGAGGGAAGTGGGACTTACCAGTGGCCAGTTTTTCTGCCATGAAATGTTGGTCTTCAAACTACCACCAATGCCAGTATGCACAACCAGTAATCTCTTTTTCTAACGATGTGGTGGTGCTGGCGCTGACTTTCTGTCCCCTCCCAGGTGGTTGTGTATTTGTCTCGCATGTTATATTTGTTATGTCGGAAGACGTAATGAGCTCCATTCTAGCTTGTGCAACTCTTGTTTGGCCTTTTGTTGTTGTAGTTGCAATTGTGATCAAACAGACCCAAGAGGATTGTTCCTTTTTGCCAGAAGTGTTGCTGTCACATGAATTGTGACGATGTCATTCCGGAAGTACGTGTTTCTGTTTTTCTTGGACTTGGCTTGTACAGCCTTTTCAATCTTTTTGTGGTCTGCAGTCAGGTCAGAGTTTGAGAAAAGGATATATATATGTGTGTGTGTGTATATGTGTGTGTATATGTGTGTGTATGTGTGTGTGTGTGTGTGTATGTGTGTGTATGTGTGTGTATATGTGTGTATATGTGTGTGTGTACTGTAAGAGAGAGAAAGAGGGTGGGGGAGGAAAAAAAATAAAGTAGAGATAGAGAGAAAGAGAGAGAGAGAGAAAGAGAGAGAAAGAGAACGAGAGAGAGAGAGAGATTTCCTAGTGTGCACGGTGACTAAAAAAAATTGCATGATTGAAAAAATGAGGTGTATGCACTCTTTGTTAGAAGCTCCAATTGAGCAGGCAGGTGTTTAGAGTAATTCACAGATGATGAAGTAGTTTGTAAACTATTTTATAAATAAAAATGAAGACAGACAAGTTGGTACCTTTTGCAATCATTTAAATAAACTAATGATGATAAAAATAATTGTTTCTTTTGGGGCATGAGGCGTAATTAGCTGAATTTACCAGGCCACATTTGTTTTCACATACATGCTCCCTTTGTTCTCATTTACCAAAATATGAGGGAGGGCTGAGGGAAGAGGTTGTCTTCTAGTTTTTCTTTTGATCATGTTTGTAGCCTGTTCCTTACGCTATTGCTCTTTATTATATCTTGTCTCTGTTTTTCTTCATTGTGCTAAAAAATGCTAGAACAATGATGGAAGTTAGGAGGTCCCTGACTCTGATGTGAAGAATGCTTGAGAATTTTGTGTGCAAGTGAGAATGAGTTTATTAATAATTATGATTTTGATGCAAATGGATGTCTCTTTTTGAAAATCGTATAAGAAAATAAAATGAACGAAAACGTGAACATGGACAGTGTCAGAAATGTTCATTTATTTATTTTCATTTTGTCATACAAGTACAACATTTGTACCTGACGTTAAACAAAAATGTTTCAGGACTTTTCTGCTTAAGCTAAACATTTGTAAATAACACAATTGTATTGCAATGAGACTATAAACTTATGGTAATCTTGCAAGAGACCTTTATGAATGAAATATTGTCAAAGACTGTGATCAACAAGAAACAAATGTGGTCATGCTGTTGTGAGTGATATCGCAATATATCTATGCCAATAATGTACAGAAGAGATGAAACCACATTTAAGTCCATGTTGCTTCAATTAATTAAAGCAAAAAAAAGAGAAATAAATGAAAGGTCACATCTCTTTGTTGTTACCTGATGCATTTTGGATAATGGCCAAACTCAAAACTGTCAGAAAACTGACTTGTTATTCATATGCTTTGACAAAACTATACCCCCCCCCCCTTCTTGGCTTTACTTTTCTTTGACAAGAGGCGGAAATACTGCCACAGAAACTTCCCAGGACTCACAACAAAATATTTACAAATGAAGACATGATGCAACACAATACACAAAAGCACTTCCAAACTACCTGAAAAGACACACACGGTTACAGGAACACTTTACAGCATCTTTGTTTACTCTCAAAGGTAGACTTTACCTAGTGAAAGGTCAAACAGTACAATGTATTCCTGTCATACCTTACGGGAACCATCTTTGGTCTTGCATCCCTTAGAAGGGAGATAGATTAAAAGTCACTTTTTGTTGCAAAAATCAAAGAAATTGTTTTGGAGAATACATATTCTGGATTTTAACAATTATTTTCAGTTAAGGCAGAATTTCCACAAATGTCTTTTGATTTTAGTTTCATGTACATTCAAAGTGGAATTACAAGTTAGGTGAGAGTTAATTGGCCTTTGTTGAGCTGAAACTTAAATGACTCTGGCGGACTGTGAAATAAGTCCGTTTGAAAGAGATGGAGCAGAAACATGCAGCCTTGCACACCAAAGAAATACCGGTACTATTGTTGTATGGTTGAAAGTTGAAAGTGGTGAGTACACAGAAGTACAAGAAACTCTCTGGACAGAGATAAGAGCTGAAGATCTGAAGGCAAAATGTTAGGGAAAGTTTTTCATCTTTTTAACCAAATTTTAAAATGATAATTAAACACGTATAATACAAGGAAGTTTTGAAACTAAATCAAAATCCACTTGCAGATCTTGATAAATAGAAAAAGTTGCCTCAATATAAATGTACAGGTCCGGGCTGGGCTGGGTTACCACCATCTTGACAGAGCCAGAACGGCAAACAATGGAATGATCCAAGTTATCACAAGGCAGTGAGTATTTCCAAGAGTATCTTCACATCTTATGTGGCTATATATAGAAGTTTAAAATTCATCGGAGGATCTTGATCCTCTTTAATAATCCTCTCCCCTCAACAACATCAGTGAGTCTGGTGTAAATATTTATACCAAACCAACAACCAACCCAACACACCCATAGGAAGAGAAGAAATTTGTAGCAAGAAAATGTGAATGAAAATATGACTTCAGAAGAAAACTGAAAACATTCTACAGGAGTTTAAATTAAATTAATTGATTCATCTCCTTAGCACTTTGTAATTTAAAAAAAATGTTCATAAAAATATGACTGTTTATTTCAGTGTAAGAACTGAGGTTTTCATCCAGGTTTGCACATATGTAGTTGAATATATACCTCTATATTTATGTAAAATATACATATATTATTCCAAAGTCATGGCTGCCCATCCTAATTAGATGAAAAAATATATCGAAGCAACATCTCTTGATCTGACAACTGAGGTCAAATGCAGTTTAATCTCAATTCTTCTCATATTACCTGCAACGGCCATCAGGTGATGAGGCTTTAAATATGAAGTGAGCAACGCCTCCTATACAATTTGTGAAACAGACTGAGCCTGCAAGTGCAAGGACACAAAGCTGTTTCTAACTCCACACTTGTCCCTATGTGTTCTACGTATCAGAGGTGTCTAGAAACAGCCAACTGCTTACATTTTGACAGCGAAGGCATAAAAAAGTAGTTCTGCCATCAACATAACAGTTAGAAAAATCACAGATCGGTGTAAGTATTCCGAGTTGTAAGAAGCTATAAAACATGCTGACTGTAACAATAGTAATAGATTTCATTTTATAAAAACCAAAACAACACCTGTACAAAAAATATAACAACATTATCATACATATTAAATCGACAATCATTTGAACATAATTCCCTTCAGCAAAATGATTTTGAAAATGTCAGGTTTGCATCACTTTGATTTGAACACGGTGCAAGAGTCATGTAACAATGACCTATCAAAAACGTCAAATAAAGTGCTCTCTTAAAAGTGACCTATCTCCATTCTTAAAAAAACTAATCAGATATTAATTTAAGATACCCTGACAAATCACATTATGCTGAAAATTGTGTCTGATATTACTGAAGTGTGTCAACAACTCGAAACATCTTGTTGCATAATGACAATGCATTAGGTTTCAGGTGTATTTATGAACGTACATATTTTTTGTCTGAAAACTTCCCAATAGAGGTTACTGAGCTAATGTACAAATTATGAGGCTCTGCGTCTTGCACATCAAAGATATGAATAAAATACCCACATGAGGAAAATGTTTTACAAATGTACCGGCATTTTCTCAAGGAATGTTGTCTTGTCTAGCTTGGGTCAGCCTTCATGCGCAGGGTGAAAGGAAAATGCCTGGCCTCCATTAGAATAGTTCCTTCCTTAGGCTTCTATATTTACATACAAAGTTGGACAACAATGCAGCATAAAACATTTGCAATGCTAGCTTATTATGATATGTAACAGGATAACGCCTTCATTTCAGTAAAAATCTTTTTTATAAAAATCTATGTTACTGAAAAAAAAGAAGAAAAAGTCTGCCATGC